GCGCGTTTTGTTGTGTTTCTGTACACGAAGGAGATATTAATTGAACAGGTCTCGTTAGATACATCTATATCTCATCTAGACAAACAGATTTCTACGTTAATTGATAATAGCATTGTTGTTAGAAACCGAGTTTCGTGCGTATTTTTTTAAAGTTTTCGTACTATTTATTACGTAGTCACTGAACATTGACCGTAAATCATTTTTATCTCGTTTGTTCTACTCCACTCGTCTGTTTGCGTAACGTTTTTCAATGCGTTCAATTTTTCATTTTTTTCTTCCTTTCCCACGTGGTTAAACAGCACCAGTTTAATAACGTGAAAATGATGCGAGAGTAGCACATTGAAAAGTCACTCGTAATGTCGCGAGGTATTTACGTAGTGCCCGTGTTACACTGCTCGTGGCGGATGTGCGCATCGGGTTGCAAATTTCTGCTGAAGGAATGTCCAAAGTGCAAAATACTTCTCGTGCTGCGAGGTGCTGAGTTTGGACATAGCTATGCATACGCGATACAATAACGGCGAAATTGCGAAATGTTAATACGGAATAAAGCTGAATTGGCAAGCAGAAACGTAATTCTTTCGGGAGTTATTTGTTTTATACTTTGCTCGAGAGGCCATGTTCTGTAGGCAAGAAAGTTGAACGATGCCATGCTCTACGATGGATCGTCAAGAAAATTAAAATGTTAACATTTTACATGAGTAATTAACGACGAGGAAAATTAACCGTTATATATTATATATTTGCTTATCGAAAAGCATTTTAAATGAATCTCAGAGGCCCGATATTCTAAAAGTTCGTAATTTCTGCCACACTTTTAGATTATCATAAATATGAAATATAGAGGAAAGTCCTCTATTATGAGAAAGGCTTCTAATATGACATAGCAGGTTTTCAACACCCCAATTCGATCACAATCTTTCTTCGCAACGATTACACGATCTAACAATGAATTTTCCACTAAGACTTCGCTCCAAGGGCAATAAATTTATGGTGGAATCAACTGACGATGCCCATTAATTTGACAGAAACCCCGCTATCCCATATTAAGATCCCCTCTCATAATAGGGAACTTTCCTCTGTAACACGTGTATAAAAGCAGCTCGACACTCGTTTAACGATTCTCCACTATAATCTCTTCAGAGTTTAAAGTTAATTGGTGCGGCTCGCTCACGTATCTACAGTCTGAAGGTTAAAATCTTTGCGACGGATAAGAGGAAGAGAGAAAGAGAATTACGAGTCGTAAATTGCATTGTACAATTTATCGGGTTGGAACGTTATATAAGTATACTTCAATACATTGTGTATTACAGTAAAGTAATAACTATTGTCTGACTTATGAAATAACGTGGAACCTGTTTAATTGCGAAAATTGATTCAATCAATCGAGACGAATATTGACAGTGTGCGATAACTTGGAATAAATCAAATTTATATTTTATCATCAAATGATTATGGGAGTGTGCAAAATTATTCGGACGCATGCCTTGGCTAGATTAATAATATTATTAATTTCTAAGCGAATAGACTTAAATTCGTTCTCTTCCTTTAAATAACACTTTTCCAATAATGATTGCGCCAATCAATTGAAAACTACTCGCGAAAATTATTCGTGTTCTTGTTCCCGTTAGCCAATCTAATTTCTCGTATCGCTAATCGTGAAGAGATCTCGCGCGAGATAACACACCGCGCTCAACGTCCATTCGCCACGCGATTTTGCTCACGAGCGAACGCAAGTACGCATTACGCATACGCGTATAATCGTGCGTATGATTACGATGTTCACCGCCACCATCGTCGTCGGCGGCGGCGGCGGCTTACGGGGTCGCGAAGTGAATCCTGAGGCGCGTGACGAATCTCGCGACACCGTGTCATCGCGATGCATTACGAGGTGTGGAACACCGGCAGACGTATGTGTAGTCGCGCGCGCACACGCATGCACCGTGATATTTATTGTCGCGAACGGAAATAAAAATAATGCGAGTGTATACACAGGCATCGGCCGCCTGTGACATCAGCCCCTCAATCAATCCGTTTTGCATGATGATGCATGAAGCGCATTCGGCGAGTGTCGCGCGAGGACACTTATCTGGGTGTGGACGCGGCGAACGTTGTCCATATAAATCCTTTCGCAGCACCGTAGAATCTCGATTATCCGAGCGATTTAACGGTATGTTCGATCATTCGCATTACGCTCAATCAGATTCTGGCATCAGAATCCCGTAGAGAACAGGCATTCACATTGTATTCACTTACGTATTATGGAAGAAATAAGAATGTTATCCATTTTTATTTACGATTTTTTTGGTTTTATTTATTGCAATAACGATATGCGGTATAAGTGTAATTTTATTTAAGAGGAAGCGACCATTTAAACATTATCCGCCGTTAATTCAGCTGATCAAAGTAGAGATACTGTAAATCTCTCGTCGCATTGTCGTTCTCGCGTATATTTCTTCTTAGAACTCGCATTGAGGAAATGAATGCGCATCTATCAAACGAGACTGTTTCAGACCGCAACCGATTCATAACAAGGTTATCGATGATCCTATATGCAAATGTTGCAATGCCAAGGTCACGTTTTATTTTCTTTCTTGCAACTAGTTTGTGATTCGCGATTAGATGATACGCGTTTGTGAATTTGAAAGTCAAATCTCAATCGATTAACTGAAATAATTTCATATCTGACTGGCAAATAACGTACATTATTTATGTATTTATTAACAAACGATTCAGATTTATTTCAGAAAATATATTTGATTCACCTTTTAACAATTATATCCTTATTGATTCTATTTCTTTATTTCTTTACTTTTTTTACGAATTTATCGAACTTGAACGCGATCAATAAACCTTACTGTACAATCCCGCTATTTAAACGCAACCGGTAAATTTTCTCGCAGGCAAACCACTTTAGTACATTACTGTAATCGGGAACGGGTCGAGATAATAAATTCGCGTACGCGCAAAATGATGATTACCAGGTCTACGACATTGCGCGTCGCTTAGATCCGCGTACATTACACGCACACACGCGCAAACACAGAGTGTATCAAGGAAATTGCACGTTTTCTTTCTATTGCGCATAAGTGCAAACCTGAAACAATTCTATTTAAATTTCGAAGTATTGCGATTTTTATTTCTTTTAATATATTAGACTATTAATGCACATGCACAAGAGAAATCATCGGTTATAATTAGTTTTAATAATCCCGTCGCCGTGACAAATATATAATAATAAAGATAACGCTAAGGGATTTTCAGTTATGATGTATCGTTAAGGTCGCGGATATACTCGTATCCCTACGCATGTCTACCATAGCAATAACTGCGCCCTTGTCTCTTTACGATATATCGCAGTGGATCTCGTAGAGATTTTGTTCGGAAAAAGACGAGCGGGTACAAAGGTCTCATGCAAATTGGGTCGGCGCGAAAAACCGGAACACCATGAACGTAACTCGCAGCACTCGGAATATAAAGCGTCCGTGATACAATATCCTACCGACCCGCGCGTTTCATCGTTTATAGCGAATCCGTATCAGGGTATTGTTACATGTGTCGAACGTACGATCACCGTTTCACATCTCGTACACTTTGTGTACTTGTATCTATCACATTGATAAACATTTCCACTACAATGCTTCTATTGCTCTATCGGAGAATTGCTTCTTTATAACAAGAGGAACGAGAAATAGACGGATGTTCTTTTTAATTTTGACGTATGTATAAATCTTACATCTTTCAGAAATGTTTCATTATACAAAATATTGAGGAATATGTCGCGTCCGACGATTTATTTCAAAAAGTGTAACTCTTTGAATTATTATTGCACAAAAATTTTTTAGTATTAATAAACGCAGCATAGGTATCTCAAATGTTATCATAATAGAAGGTACAAGCTGTTTGTAATTCAGATTCTTAATGTTTATTTTGATTAAGATGATAGAGAGCACATCTCAATGAGACATTTTTGGCCGCGCAAAGTGTTTCTGGATCGCGTTCGACTTTGGTTACCGTTTTGCAGCTATGTTTAGATCACGTTCAGCTGGCGACGATAAACTAGGTCGGATTAGCGCACTTCCTTGTGCGAGTTCTCCAGCTTTTATCAGAATGAGGCTGTGTGTTATCTTCTCTCTTCTCATATACCTCATAATTACCGAGGAATTATCGGATTTCACCAAGCGTCAAGCGAAAATGTTATACCAATAAAGCGAAAATGTGATATCAGTATTTTGTTTTCCATGAATTTAACAAATGAATTTAACGAATGTTGTAAATATTACATATTGTTATATTGATACAAATAGCACGTATCTATTATTTATTGGAGCAAAATCCTAACAATTTAATGGTAGGATGCTGTAATTTTGCATTACAAGCATCTTGATTGAAAATTAAATACCATGTATAATTAAATAATACTCATTATTTACTGGTACATTTATTTAGACGTCACGTGTTGAAAATTGTACGCTTGTATGTACGATAATCTGAGTATAAAGCTGTAAAGTTCGCAATAATATGCCGTAAAGCGATAATAAATTAATTACTAAGTCTCATAATCAGCTTAATTAAAAGCAATGACGATTAATATTATTTTTATGATGAAAACAACCGGACTATATTTATCTCATCTATTTCTCCTAAATTATCTCCAAGTGAATTTCACTGTCTTGGCTGCCAAGAGAACATCTTTCGCCACAGAAAAATTACGGTTGCCTGTAACGTGAATGCCCGTAACCGGATTTCGCAGATAAACGGATTTTCCGCAGACACAGCAGTTCATTGCGTCGCGTTACATACGTTTAATCTCACGGCGATTAAATTGCATTTGCATCACCTTGACGTCAACTGTTATATAGGTACGCGTTGGCGTTGCTCTCTGCAGAATTGTACCCGTTGCAGCAATTAAACGATCAAAGCGATCATTTTTTTATATGTAACCAATGCCCAATTATTTTATTTTGTTGTATAAACAACGCAATCTCTTTAATCTTTTTTAGATGGGGCGATTACTCGTAGGGACGTACTTTTTGCTACTGACCGTGCTGTTAGCACCGGTGCAGAAAGCTGCGGCATGCAGCTGTGCGCAAGCTCACCCACAAACCAAGTTTTGTGAATCGGATTTTGGTACAGTAATTTCACGGTCAACAATGTCTTTCAATACTTGATATCATAAATATCATAAATGGCTTGAAAATATAAAATGTAATTTTATCTCTGATAAATTGTACTTTTTTAAATGAATTAAACTGTTTCATTTTCATCGATGTAACAACATTTTGGTGACAGGAACGTTAACGTTTATGTAATAATTATTTTAGATCTTATTGATAGCTAATGTATTAATTTTGGTTTGCAAAATATATGATTTTTGCGTGCTAAATAACAACGAGAATCGCTTTCCGGTCTTCGTAAAAGGCGTCGGCCACGGTTAATAATGTTCTTTTATCGTAGTCGTCGTGGTGAGGGTAAAAAAGGTTCTCCCCGTGAACGACTACGAGATCGCTTACAAGGTCAAGATAAACAGGGTGTTCAAGGTGCGTATTATGTGTCGGTGAGAGACGTCACGCACGCGGAGAGACGTTCGTCGCGTTCATCGCGAAATGCAATCTAGGCTTAACCGAGTACGCCTCTGCTTCTTCCTCCCGCAGTCGAACCCAAAGGCCGACGTGGCTCTGATGCAGAACCTTTTACGGACACCATCCACGGACTCGATGTGCGGAGTGACATTGAACGTCGGCGATACGTACGTCCTAAACGGAAGAATCGTCTCGGGGAAAGCGCTCATATCGACCTGCGGGCTCTCGATAAGATGGGCCGACACGACTACTAGACAACGCAAGGGACTGAGACAACTTTATCAACAAGGTTGCGTGTGTGACGTAAGTGTTGAACCATTTCATCTGCTGTTAGTTCAAATTTATTCTCTCCATTATTAATTTCCTACTCTCCATCGAAGAATATATTAGTATAATTTATTAAAACTTTTACTAGAGAGTTTCACGAAATATCCTGTCCATTAGACAGCGATGTTTAAAATTTTAATACTATGACAATTATTCTTTCGATTTTTTAAGTAAAAAAATATTACATTGACTCTTTTTCCACGATTGTAATCAAATTTATTATTCGCTTCGAACTGAGAAGGAAAAGATCTGTTAATAAATAAATTGGATCGAAATACGAATTGAATCTGGTCATAAATGGAGCGGAGACTTATAAATCATACGCAAAATCAAATATTTTTTTAACTGATTCCGTGAAACCAACGCAGACTCGGTGCGTGTGAGGGCGTTTAAGGCAATGAATCACATACGCTGTAAATCTCGGGCGATTTTATACGGCCGAGAATGCTTCTAAAAAATCGAGTGTCCTAAAAATACATATCCGCGACCGAAGAGACGCACGCGCGTTTGTTCAATCACGGTTTTCGCGCGACGCGAGTTTACGCGGCTAAGAATACGAGATCAGGCGAGAAAGGGCGCGGGAAAAAATGGCCTGGTTTTTGTATCGCAGATTCTGTATACACACTGGAGGCGCAAGGGTGCCGTGCTAGAGTCCAGTGGCGGAAAGAATTGTCTGTGGGAAAGCACACCAGGCCCCCAGGATTGCCAAGAAAAATACGGCGTCTGCATGGCGTCGCGCAGCGGCTGCTCCTGGGTTCCCTCGGTGCCGTACAAGAATTGCATCAAGGAATACCAGCGTAAACGCGAGCAGCAAAGGTCGCGGGAACCTTAATTGGCACTCTCGTATCTTACTCCGTTCGTGTCCTCGTGCGACGGGAAGCAACAGAATTTATCGGTTGTAAAACACGACGCGGCGTATCTGCCAAACAATTTGACGACGGACGCGCCGCGTGATTGAGTCGCTGACAAGCGAAGCGGTATGGCGATAGTTTAATGGAAAACTGTATATTTGCAACGCGTGAAAAATCCACGAGACCCGAACCACTACTATATGCTGCATGGAATAATTGAGCAACACGATAGTTCAATAATAGGTTACCGCATACGCGCGAGGCAAAAATTCCCCCGTTTTTTCACAGTTTTATCAAAAGCAATAACACTCCGCGGTTTTGTAAATTGACTTTTAGTAGCGCCTTCAAATAGCGTCGGATTTATCTAAAAACAACTTTGCGCTAGGTCTTTAAAGCTGAAAAGTAGATCGGTAAATTTGAAGCACTCGTGAGGGATGCAATTATAATCAAGTGACGTCATTAATTTCGTGCTAATTTTCATGTAGAATTTGACGCCGACAGAAATAAAAAGTCGGACGAATATTGCCGAAATGCGGTTAAAATGTGGGGTCGGCGAGTGTTTGTTAAATTATTTGTGACTTACAATTAGACTGGATAGCAATAACATTGGCTAATTTTATCCCGTAGTTTATAACGGCAATTTTATTGGCTTAATATTGTGGCTATAACACAAATAGAAAAAAGTATTAGTTAATTATTGATAGGTCTGAGCGGCGTTGTGGTGCAACCAACCCTTAATTATTCGATTATTATTAACAAGGGGTAAGTTTGTATTGCTTAGGTATTTTGAAATGCGTGAATATGCATTTCATCGCTGAAATATATATGAGTGACCTACTTTCACGACTATTCTCTCTCTCTTAACAAGTTGTATATATTATATATTGTTAATGTATATTGTATATCGTTAAATTATTCCAATTCGTTTCGCGTTGTATGTAGTCTTAGACGTTGTTACAACTTCACTCTACGTACTTTACTACGTTTTATGCGCATTTTTAGATCTAAATTAGTTGTAGCTTTGCGTACATAATTGTTGTTTACGTAGACTATTAGTCATAAACCGTGAACTATTTAATCAACTTTTAATCAAGTGAGAACACTGATTATGCGAATTTATAGTCTTACATGTAGAAGATTTTGGTGTTGTTCATTTTTCTTCTATCATTGTTGCACGCGATAATATAGTTTCTCATTAAACGGAAGCATTTTATTTCGATCGAAGTTTAGTACAAAATACAAAGAGTACTAAAAATTTATATGCATGTGCACTTTCGAACGAACAGAAACGAACTTTTTTTACCTGTAACTTAGTTTAGTTCTTAAACGTGGTACTTTTATAAGTGTTATATGACATGTAGAATAAAAATGAATGAAAACAGTTGTTCTTATAAACCTGATTATAACACGTCAGATATCATTCTGACACTTTTAATAGTAAATGTTTTTTTACGAAGAAATGAAAATTAAGAATAAATATGTGTCGATCGATTTTACTCACCATTTCGCGATGATTGGGGTAATAACTCTGTTCGATCAGGGGGAAGTTGTCTTTACCTAAACGACGCTGTAGTCCCAGCAGGTGAGCAAATACCCAAGGTTTATCCTATTTTATAGAACACGGTAGCAATTACCGAAAGGTTCACTTATATCACCGATAAAAAGAAGAATATGTATAACAAAATCAATACAGGATATTACATGTAAAAAAATCTTACGTGTAATATATATTTAAAATTTTATTTTCATTCTATTTAATACTTGTACGCTAAAGTAAAAATTAAGTTTTGAAAGCTATACATAAACATTCTTGCTTATTTGCAGACAATTGAGATTATGGTATTCTTAAATTTTTATCTTCTATTTTACATTTAGTTTGCAAATGATTATTTGAATATTTAGTAAAGCAGATTATTTCACCGCAATACATTACCTGAAAGTTATAAATTGCTGTAAGATTGTTAACGCTGGGCACACCGCCGTACATCAGACCAAGAAGAAGATTCTTGTTGTCTTCCCCAGCATCTCGCAGATTTTGACGTATCAATACGAAATCAGGTTTGAAGGATCTGATAACAAATAACATACCCGTCGCTCGATATATTTGAAAGTTTTTCATGCATTATGTGCGACGTCAGTTTTAAATTGTCAAACTACTACTTAAACTTATTTCTCGATTTTTAATTTGGAATTAAAATGTGAGCTAAAAATGCAAAATGGTATTAAACTATTTAAATTTTGGTTTAATTTAGAAAACTGCTGAAAGTAGAGATGCGGGAAACACACATTATTCTCTCTCATCCTATTATCGAATTTCATCTTACCGAATAACTTTGGTCCCGTTACGATAGACAGCCATGGACACAACGGTGCCCGCCTCGCTTGCCGTCAGGGACACTTCTCGAAATTCCGCCTGCTCCACGCGGATCTCATAATCGCCATGCAGTCTGCGCCCCCGGAAGTATTTACTCCAGTCGGTGTTTTGGTCATCGATCACCAGCAGAGTGAAGCATCGGTCTTTGCTGTATGACGAGCCTCTGGTCGCGCCAGATACCGCCGCTCCCAAAATAGAAGCACCCTACGGATCATTTTAACTGTCACATATTATGACATTCTCTCCTTGCAACATAGTAATTGAACCAATGGAAGATGGATTATAATTAAACACGCTGTCAATGATACGAAAAGTGCTTTTAAGAAAGCTAAATTTAAGTTTCAAGTCTTGCTCTTAAGAGAAGCTAATCGTGAGATATTTGGAGAAACGTTTTGGAATACTACTATTCATCCAGTATTATTAATGGCTCTATTTTTAATGGCTGATTTTTATCAAAAGACAGAAAGTGTCAGATAAATGTGGACAAGGAGGATGAGAAATCAACTTGCCTGGTCGCGAGCGGCGCCGGTTAAGCTCTGCACCCGTTGGAGCAAACTCTCCCTTGTCTTTGCCGGCGAGGATGGTGCGCTGGTGGTCCGCGAGCCGGGTCTCAGGTTGAGACTGAGATCGCCGCCGATGGGCTGCGGCGGTCCCTGGGGCGGCGCGCCCGGAATCGGCGGCTGGGACGGCGGTGGTAACGGACCCGGCTGGGATTGCAGGGGTCGGTCCGGCACCGTTTGATACGGCTGAGACGAGTCCTGCCGGCCCACGGTGGCCAACCCAGGATCCGCGTTGGGCTCATCGTCGAGTTCCGAGCTTAGGTCCCCTGATGAGAACCTGGAAGACAAGCTATGGTGGTCGTCGTGATAGCAACAATCGGTCGGTAGGCCGCGCACTGACGCTGTCGTCTGACTGCGCTAAATGCACATCGATCACAGCCACTCGGTGCTGATGGGATGAGGAGCATGGAGATGACGTCGACGATGAGGCTGGACGGTCGCTAATCGGCCGGCGTTGCATGCGTGACGCTGGTCTTACATCTATTTCGGTTGCGAAGTAGACGATCATGGCGCTGCAGTCCGAAGTAGATTCGCTTCATGTTTTTTCCATCCGTTAGGTGCAATTTCTTTTTCACTCAAATGTTGGTTTTTGCATGGAATAAAATGCGTCGCAGACAATGCCAGGACATCCGCACGAAACCACGTCTATGCGCATTTACGTCATTATCGATTTACATTACCGAGCGTATGTGATTATTCGTAAGTAACGGCGAGATTTGCGTCATAAATAAAAGCGAGAGATGAAAGACGCGATATCGCTGACGGGGGAGGAGAGGTGGTGTTATACTAACGTTACCGTGTGTAAAGTAACGTTAGCGCGATGGCTTGATATCGTGACGTGAGTCCAGGCTGCATTTGGGGCAATGCTGGAAGCGATATTTTTAACGAGCCGCATGCACACATCCATATTTGTCCAACACGAAAGACTCGGAATTATTAATAAGAGCATTACGATACTTGTGCTTGGGCTCTCTGTAGATATTTTAACGCTACACTTTCGGATAAGCAGAGGTTCCCAAGCGCCTCGACGTTATCTCTTCTGATATTTAACAGAATCCCTTCTCCCCTTTCAATCGATTAACAGTATTTGCAAGAGTTAATTTTGAAGGCTCGAAGTTGCGATACTGCAAAGAAAAGTTTCCTTGGAGCCCATTATCAATATTCATTATTAATGAGATTAAAATTCTCGCAAATTACTTCGCACCACCTATAGTGTGGGAACCTTCGCGTCGAGTTTCAGAAATCCCAATTTTCCACGCCGTAACTTTGACGCGTCGTTGATTGCTTAATGGCCGCCTCGGATAAGTACTTGTGTCCAGCTAATTGGAATCTATTTTCTCTTCACCGGCGTATTATGGGAGCCGTCGAGAACACACGGAATATTGAGATACCCCGCGTTTTGTTTTAACGGCCGATCATTATCGTGCACACGCCAGTGTGCGTAGATTGACTCCGTATGAGAGCCACTCATAAAAACAGGATTCTGCTCGGTGATGTGATACATGAGCTTTCATCAGGTACGCCTTTCAACAACGTATTCGCTCTCCAGCAGCGGATAGAGCGACGTTTCGATCGAAATGTTTCCGTGCCGGATTTTAATTATAGGAATCTCTGGACCTCGTCCGATAACAGAATATGACCGGTAATTAAGTTAAAAGCACATTAAGCGCGCAATATAACAAGAGTGTAGAGCGCTATTCGCAGTTATAAATTATTGCTTACATTTTTACGCATGACGTCAGTAACGGGAGAAAGAGAAACAAGACTGAGTCGTGTAATTACTTATTTTCATCCGCAAATGCATCCCAGAAATTTGTACCATCTTAGACGAATTACCGATCCACAATACGTTCAAGAAACATTCTACAAGATCAATCTGGGAGGTTGGTAAATGCGCACGCAATATAATTGTACTCTGCTCCATGCAGATTCAAGATTCGGGCTGACATTTGTTACGTATGCGTATCTGGAGTTACGAAAGAACTGAAGAAGACGACTTCAATTCCTTCGGCTTATAAGCGAGCGTCGTAGATTAAATCCGATAAAATTAAATTAAATCCAGTGAAATGAAATGAATAGGCACGAGTTTAAATGTCAGCCCTACAGCCCGGCGAAACGCCGGTGACTCACCTCCGTTTCAGGTAGTTGACATTGGAGGTGAAGGACTGACGAAAACTGGAGAATGAAATGTTGCCGGGTGATGGAGCTGTACCACAGTACTTGGCGCAACCGCCGCGGCCGGTAATCTTGATGGTTACACCGGGCTCGCTGCTGCGATGAAACGGCTCCCGGTTTCGTTGCTCGGTTGCTGTCAGCGATCCGGAAGATAACCCGGTTCAGTTCTCTGCCGTTGCAGATGGTCCTCGCACTGCTGATGATGCGTCGTCGTAGCGACGCGCGAAATAGGTCGTTCGTTGTGGGTCGAAGGATCGTGTCGATAGATCCTAGATCGATGGGCGGCTTCTCTCTGCTTTGATGCGTCGCGGGATAAACTTCAACGTAAGGTAATCCGAAAGGAAAGGATGAAATAAGAGGAGGTGAGGAAGAAGAAAATAAACAATCCAAGTTGAAATCTGCAGGCAAAAGAAAAAAAAGCCGTCGGTTAAGTGATCGCATAAATTGTAATTATAGGATTTTTATTTGCGTAAACAAGGCTGTGAATATATTAGGTATATTATTCGCAGATGCATCGATTAAGTAAGACGTGACTTTCTCAAATATCTTTGATATTTGTATGTAAAATATTTATACGATTATTGCTAGTTAATATTTTTTAACGTTTGAAAAGATTAAATGAATATATAATTCGCTGGAAAATATTTTACAATTTAACAGCGAAGTGCAACTCGAAAGTGCAACTTGTTGAATTGTATTTCTATTCTACGGTATTTTCAGATTGTTCAAAGCACATTAATTATCTCTTAAATTTGACGATTGAAATGACTACATTCAATTCACTGTGATCTTTAAACTCCGAGAGAATATTCAAATGTGATTATATCGGATTCTTTACGGCTCTAATTGAAACAGATTTCTTTTTAATTTGAGTGGCTTAAATGCTACTTGTACTATGAACGACACTCTTTTATTGCGCATGATATCTTTTCGTAATTGGGTTCACTGGTGTATCGGAAACAGTAAGCTAAGATCATAAAACCCCCCGCGGCTCGTGTTCCTATTATTTTCTTTATATCATGCTCTGTGAATGCTTGTGCACATTATTACGGCAATAAAGGTTTCGCGTGAAAAACGCGACGAGATTAATTTTTTTATGACTGATTCAGACCAGACACTCGAAGAAATATGAAAAGAAGTCCCATCTAAAGGAGATTCAGAACTCGCGAAATAGGTGAGGCAGCTCTTGCAACAGTACGGTCTGTTATAGCTTGTAATTTATAAAATCCCTTTTCGAACTTTTCTAAAAGTTTGATGGTAAAAAATTGTCGTTCTTCAATCTGTCGCTGGTTGTGAAGAATGCTTCGAAATCACGTATTATGCATTAAGGGGCAAGAATTATGGATGTAACCGGTGTGACCAATGACTCGTAATATGAGGCTCGCGAAAATCGATAGTCGGAGCGCGATTTTGCTTGGAATTTCTGAAATGCTTCACGGCATCGCGCGAGTTCACCGGCATTTACGTATTCTTGGAACATACGCGCGGCACGGAAGCGCTACTTCTATGGCTTGCTCGTCGATCGTATCATCGAGCAGAGAGCACCTTTCTTCAAGAGCTCGCGGGATAATTCTATGCTCACACCGCGAGAAAAGAGGAGGAGAGGAGGGAAAGGAAGCGTCGAGGAAGCAATGATACATTCCGACCGCTCATATTTGTTTCTTCCGTACTTCTCCGATAATAGCGACGTCCATGTTTCGCGGAACTGGTGAACCTCGCGTGTAATCTTCAACATTCTACTTTCTCGGAGCATTGCTCGAGAAGAAAATCTCGAGTTTGATTCAAACAAGTTGCAATAGCTCACAGAATGTTTCTACAGTAGATGTTATACGTCGAACTGAGAAGTAAATAGTCGCCTTCTGTGTGCGTCGAGACATTTTGTAAGAATTACTACGCAACATCAAAATTTTAAACAATTTTATTGACTCAGACGCCGTAAATGTAGCTTGGAATTTTTAAATTAAATTGAGCTAGAATTGAAAGGAACGAAATTTTTAAGAATATACACGATAAGTGATGAGTTTGCATCAAGATCTTGCGAAGGGAAAATTCTAAATTTATCATAGAGCTTGCAGCTGAATGGATATCTGGGTCATAGGCATTCCGTATTTCATTCCGAGGTTATTCTTTGAAATCTTAATTCGTGTCTTCGGCCGTTTTACGATCTTGTAACGATTTCAGCTTTCAGCCTTCACGTTTGTTGCTTCAGGAAATTCAAATTGCGCGAGGGTATAATTTATGTAAAATTATAGGGAGGTAAACTAGAATGAACCAATGAGAAATAAGTTAATTTCAACTTATAACGACTTCCATGTGAAAGCATTTCGCAAGTTTCGCAGGTTAGTGTAATACATTGCATAGAATTATCCTCGCTCCGCGAATAGCACCTACCTATTAGACCGCGAAGTGGTAAACGAGTTATAGAGCCATTACGTGTTGATGAGATACGCTCGTGGATGCAGCTCATCAAGCATTTTACACGCACAATACCGTTGCATGCATCGAATTCCTATAATAGCTATATTACATACGATCAAGAGAGTCACAACAATAGCCTAGTATGTGTTGAGAGATGATAAGTTACTTGATACAAAGTCCTGTCCAGTTAAATGTTTGAACTGGGACCGCGACAACGTTTTAATTATGAAGAGATTGGCTCTAGGTTGAGATATTTAATCTGAAATGTATATATGGGAAAATAATTGATAAATATGTCAAAAGAAATGCAGACCATATTAAAGCTAATAAAATACTTTAGATTGAAAGCAAGATTAGAAAGAATGATTATTATCCATTTATATTTTATTACGATACTTAATGAAGATTAAGAACAATAATCCTTTATAAATTAATGTTCTGGAGTTATTTAAATATCATTTAACATTAGCAAGTAGGTCATTGTATAACTTTACAGATACTAATAGGTAGTACAAGTAGTAATAACCGATTGTACGGATAATTATAGTCCAATCCTATTCCGACACCATTAAATTACAGACGGTGTAAGAATCGATATACCCCGGCTTACCCAGCTTCTGTCTAATCAGACAAACACCGAAATTTAATGAGAGACTTATCGAGCAGAACTAAGCAAATACTTTCTTTGTCGTACCTTTGGTACGATTATAAAATGTTGAAACCAGATAACTTTAAACTGTGTCAATTAGAAGAACATATTAATTTAAAGTTAACCACAGCATAATAACGTAAGCATTAATAGGAATAAATGTCATGAATTTATGTTAATAATGTATTAAATATTCGCATTCAATTTTACGCAAATATCACTTTGTGCGCCACGGTTATAAATTGCATATGTATCCTCATAATTTCAAATGAAATGAAATGGAATATGGATATTGTTCCACCGGGTTGATGTCTGAATTCACGTAATTACGAAGATTAAATCGCGTCTAAAAGATTACCGCATTCTGCTCATTTTAATCTCTGCATCTAGCTAACATTGTAATCTTAATGAAAATTTTGCATAGCATTTCTTGGTATAATCTATCATATATTTTGCTGAGATTGAGATAATATAAATATTACAAGAAATTGCGTAACAGAGAAATCCCTGCTAATCCGTACGTAATGTCTTAAAGCTGAAAACTGCAGCCACTACAGGTATCGAATTTTTATTTAAGTGCTTTTCAAGACTAATCGATAAACTCTTGGTGAAAAATAGATGAGTCAGGCTTTTCTTTATTAACGTTTTTAGATCGCATTTATTATGTATCGCAATTGACATTTTGTGAGATAGAAGACAGATTTTTTTTGTGCAAGATTAACGACTGAATTCATCAGTGGTTAATTAACTTCATCAACTTTAATCTAATCGATTCTTCGCCTTCTTCTTCTGCCGCTGGAAAATTTTAGTTTGCGAAAATAAACCTAAAAGAATTATTTTTTGTTATATCGCGAATCACGATCTGAATCCGCGACATTACAAATCGTTACTCTCAACCACTTTTATCACAAGAATAAATGTACATCTGTTAATGCAGGAACCAGTAAGGAGTTAACCCTCGTTAAAAAAAATGTTTAAGCGTATAAAGAAAGGAGAGTGCTTTCGCACAAAAGAATATCCTCGTTTACGCTGATCGTTAAGATCCATCTCGGCAGCCATGACTAAAACTTCCTAAGAAAAAGCCGCTTTTGTTAACGTCACGACGAAAGGAAAGATAGGGAGAGAGACTCTCTGCAGCTTGAGTGTAAAATAAAATTCGTTCTCTCTTAAAAAAAGGAAAAAAAAATCAATGCCGCTTCGCAAAACGCACGCATTCGCCATTACTTTTTCGTCTCCCAAAACTCAGTGTGTCACTCCTGCTAAAATTATCGTATTCGTTTCTCGTTTCCCAGCTATCCCGACTATTTATGACTGAACATCGATTGTACCCCGTCCAACCGAGACACTGGAATCTTGCGCAATGGACGTAAATCCGAAAACTGCACTTGCGTACCAAAATACACACTCTCATTCAGGTGGATAACGATCCCATTTATCAACGACCGCCCACACGTCGCTTGTCCTCGCCGTCAATACGAGCGGCAGTAGTAATCTTACCTCGGCGATCTCGCTACGCAAAGATATTAATTCGAGCTCTCGCTCGATAAAGCGATTGCCCGAGCACTCGGTCGCGTTGATTCGTTATGGTTGCAAACCCGTGAGACGTTATTCCAACGACGTTATTGCGACGGCGTTATCTGCGCGTCTTATCGACAGCCCTGTCGAGCGACTATCGGGAGCGACGTTGAAACTACCCCGAGAGAGGTATCGAAACTACCCCGCTTGGCGAAGACAGCCGTCACGTGAAGGTGGTGCGCGCCACCAGCCTGTCACCTTGCGTACTCCACGGGGCCGGAACCGGCAAAGCGATTTTACGAAAAGGCGTGTACCGAGACGATCGCGATCTTAGGCGGAATCGTTGCCGCGAGATCGATCTTTTCGCGAAGGCACGGGAATTTGAAATTCTCGCCTGACCTGTGCGACTCTCAAACTACGGTCACTTACCTGTGTCGCGTGCGCGTACTACCCACTAGTTTGCCGATGAAGCAGTGAGGCTCGGCGGAGAATCGCGAGGGTGTCGCCCGGAGGGACACCCTGGTCGATACGCCGGCGCCTGCGCAACCCCTTATCGTCTACCAAGCTCCTCGC